GCAGGAATATGAATAGACATCTGTGTGAATTTCTGGCACAGATTGGTAGTTACAAGTATTAATATTTTTTTCAGTGAATCATGAACAGGGTTATTCATAAATACAACAATGTATTAGTGAAAATCAGGCTTTTAGTATTACATTCACATCTGATTTTATAGTTACATTAATAGAGATCATTATAACATTCCACAGGGAAAGGATTTGTATGAGTTCTTTAGGTTATAACATTGTATATTCACTTATAATTTTCTGCTTACTGTCAATACAGCCAGCTCAGTTATACTGTACAAAGGTTTACTAGATATCAGGTTGTAACAACAGATGTGGAAAAGGAAATGCTCTTTTTTAAATCCCTTGCCCCATGCTCCACAAACCTTGAAGGCCTAAACTTTCTCCCATTACAGTGCAAATGTATCCTATTGTTGCATATAAAAACATGGAGAAACACTGGAGAAAATACTGGGAGTTAGGAGAAGTCAGTCATGTACTTCCACTGTTTTTTCCCTTCCAGATTATGGACCATTGGAATAGTGAGTTTTGTGATGTCCTTATCCTTAAGAACCTGGACTGTGACCTCAATAAATAGCCTTTAGATGGCTATGACTTCTTTAGACATAGGGACATTGTTAGCTGTGAAGTTAATGTTGTTAGTCTGAAGCCAAGTAAACGTGACATGACAAACAGTCATAAAGTCAAATAGATATGACAAATGCCTTTTCAAATGAATTAGTCTAAAGAAAAAAAATGTTAAATTTGACTTTTCTAGGGTTACTGGGGTCCAAGAGCAATGATTGCAACCCAAGCACCAATGCAGGAAACAATCAATGACTTTTGGCAAATGGTCTTCCAAAGAAAAGTCAAAGTCATCGTTATGTTGACAGAGCTGAAAGAAGGAGATCAGGTTAGTATAATCTTCTGCAATGTAAAATCACAAAATTCCAGTTTCTGAATAGCATCAGAAAACTTTTCAAACCAAAAAAGTATGTATCTCAATTTATGCTTTTGGCTTTTGTAATAAGAATTATTACACCTTTATACTTTGAATCATGTTGAAATAACTTTTGATGAAAAAGTAAGCATTCATTTACCATGCATTTTATAATAAAACTGACATCTCCAAATATTTTAAAGTACATTGACCCCATACATTAATTTAGACGAAAAGGTCAAAAACTTGAAAATGAAGGACTAATTTGTACTTTTATCCTTTCTAGGAACTCTGTGCACAGTACTGGGGAGAACAAAAACAAACATATGATGGTATAGATGTTGAAATGAAAGATATCAGCCAGTCTTCTAGCTACACCATCCGTGTGTTTGATGTCACACAGGTGAAGGTAATAGATAAAATGCGATAGATGAGTGTTTTACATTTGCTTTTTCAATTTTAAACTTAGCCATGCATAAAGGAGCAGCCAAAAGATGAGAAAAATGCTTGTGTTATGAAGTTTTTATAGCTAATTTTATTAGTTCCTTACTCTAATTTTTAAATATTTTAAAATTAAGACTTTGCTACTCAGCAGTGATTTAAAAGCTATGTCAAACATAAGTAAAACAAGATCTAGAGACCCCTCTAGGTGGTCAGCTTCCTCTGTTTCCATCTTCTTCCTGGGGATGGTAATTTACTGTTGTCTCAGACCATCAGCAAACTCTTCTGTACTATAAACTGGCTGAACAAAGTATCCACCTGCTAAGAGAGTGGAAATGAGTACACAGTACCTAATCACTCTTGTGTACTTAGGCCAAATGCCTGGGTGCTTACCAACCTCATGTCCCTGCAAAGAAAGATCAGGTCACAATCTAGCTTTTTGTGATCACTTTTTTTTTGTTTTTTAGTACCTGTAGAGTGAACACAATACATGGTATTATCCTGTGATTTCATTACACATTTATCTGTGTTGCAGAGGAAAGAAACTCAAACAGTGTATCATTATCAGTACCATAACTGGAATGGCATGGATGTTCCAGAAAACCCCAAGGACTTGATCTCCATGGCTCTAAACCTCAGAAAAAAGCTCCCAGATAAGCCTGTCGCTGAGGACAACAGATACAGCCGGAGTGTTCCAATTGTTATTCATTGCCGGTAGGTGTGGACTCTGCAGATATTTTAACATATTTCTAGGCTTTATTATTAGGTCTGTGCAAAGCTTTGGGTGCTGATTTGATTTGGAGGAGATTTGGACTGATTTGGTGGCTGAATCTCCAAACCGGGATTGAATCAGGGGACCAATTAAAAGGTCTGAATTGATTTGAAGCTCTCCAAATCAATTCAGAAAAGATTCAGAGAGCTTTGGTGATTTGGGCAGTCCACACTAGCTGTGGCAGGGAGCTGGATCCAGACTCCATGCTGGTACGTAAGGGGCAGGGGACAGGATCCTGGAGGAGGGGTAAGAGAACCCCATGGGGGGACCCCTTCCAGGCCATCCCCTGCCTGCTCCCCCAGGCTTCCTGAGTGCTTCCCCCCCCCCCCCAAACCGCTCCTGGTTGTTTAAAAAAAAGCCCCTACTCACTGTCTGCTGGAAGGTGGGGTGGCAATCCTCACTGCCCCTCACTGCCCCACACTGCATGGAGGGCTCTGCCATGTGCCCCCCATGCAGCATGGGATAGTGGGGGGGGCAGCACGGATTGCCCCCTCTGCCTGGCAGCAGCTGGTGTGTGGGGGCTTTTTTTCCCCCAAAGAGCAAGGAGCTGGGGCTGAGCAGGGCTGGGAGAGCGGAAGTGGGTAGGGCCTGTGTGATCTGGAGATTTGGCTAATTCGGCAGCAGCGGAATCTCCGAATCAGATTCAGAGAAATCGATTCAGGGGAGTGATTCAAATCACCAAATTGAATCACTTTCCACCAAATTGGCTGAATCTGAATCCAAAGTGAATACTAGCTGCTTCACACAGGCCTGTTAGTTATGTTTGTTAATCACAGTTGCATAATTCTCACCTTGGCCCCAAAGATTTCTTAAAGCCTAAATTCATCCTACAGGCCCTGCCAGCTTTCAGAGGCACATCACAGCAGCTCTGTGCTCTGGGCAATGATGGTGCAGCCACCATTACAACAGTGCCTATTTTTGTATTGGCCCCTCCCCATTACAGATAGCACACTAGACTGCTACCCTGCTCACTCCTGTCCCAGTTATGCTCTGGTCAGCTTTTCTTAGCAGATGCTTCCAGTGACAGAAATTTGAACTGCATATTATGCTGCATAGGAAAGTAGCTGTAATCTCCCATCTGCTGAGGTGGCAATAATGGCTGAAGGCCAATACTATTCAATGAGTAGATGTTGCTGGCTGGTGACCAAGAAAGGTGTCAGGTCACTCCAAAGTCCTAGGAGGCTTCTAGTAGATTTTAATGTTGTATCTTCCTCTCCTCCCAGCCAACCTCTCACATGTGGAAGAAGTCTATCATTGTTCTTTTCTCTTTTTGGCACAGGGGCCGAGTTCCTTCAGGGAGATGAACATTTCACTAAACTTAGCATAGGGATGAGTATCTGGATTTGCTTCTCATGCTGGCTGTTACATTTGTCACATGGCTAGATGTTGACTATGTTTTGTATTCCATGAGTGGACAATGTTGTTGAGTACCAACACCAGAGTCAGTATGCATCTTCAGAGCAAGCTGTATGGGGGTGGTGCATACTCCCTTGTAAAGATAGTCAGTAATTCAAGGTACAAGAGCCAGTTGTGAAAAACTGTGTGTTCTGCTGACATTCTAAAGATGTTCTGGATTACCATAAATTCATTCCCACAAGAAATTTCAGCGACAATAATGTTTAAACAGTTTTTTTCAAAAGTCATAAACCTAATAACTAGTCACAGACTGTGCTGATTTTACATTCCAGTAAGGTGTACTGTGCCCTGTTAGAGCATACCAGTTATGGGGCTCAGCAGAGCCCAGCCCTAGACATCTTCCAGAAGCTCTGTAAGACCTTATTTGAGTAGATATTTAGTAAGCAAGGCTAAACTGGCATATTATTTAGGGATAATTTTTTGATACCTTATCTTAATACTCTACATGGTTTTATAAGCTATTTTTCCTCTTATCTTAAGCCACCTGCCCAGGGCAGGGGCTCGGACTTGATGATCTACTTAGGTCCCTTCCAACCCTACATCTATGAATCTATAAACCTGTAGTCTTTGTTGGGAAGGCCATCATATAAATAAATAAAACACATCTTCTACTTCTAGTGATGGATCCCAACAGACGGGCATGTTTTGCGCTTTGTTGACTCTTGTGGAAAGTGCAGAAATAGAAGAGGTAATAGATGTCTTCCAAGTTGTGAAATCTCTTCGGCGTTCCAGGCTGGGAATGGTCACCAGTTTTGTAAGTAAATCCTATTAACTGGAACACATAATAAGTTGCTTTTAGTCTTGAATGTTTTAATAACCTCTGGCACTGATTCTATGTGGGGAATGTTAATTATAATTAGCCCATACCCAATTATTCATCAGCAATTGGAAATTGGCTGTTGTTGTTTAGAAGAAACTAACTAGCAAAATATCCACAGATATTGTAGTGTCATAATCTTATAACTGAAAAGGGTAACAGTAGATGTTATAAACCACTAGATATTTAGGGTGGAATTTTCACAGCTTCCTAATGGAGTTAGGTGCCCAACATCCATTGAATCCCATAGAAAATCTGATAGCTACCTCTTTAGCCAGGTTAAGATATCCACTTTTTGCTTTAGAAGCAGCATTTTTATTAGCATGCTGAATGTATTAAATTCTCCAGCAGTCCATCTTCATTTTCTAACTCTAGTATAGATTATTAGAGAACAGAATCATAGCTATCACAGTGTACTTCATTTACCATCTTGATTCTTTTTTAAACAGATTTTTTATAATTTATGTGTCAAGAGGGATAGATTTGGTGGCTCTTCCTTGGGAATGGGACTATTTTAGATCAAAGGTTCTTAACCTTTTTAGATTTGGGGTACCCCCTAGTTTGACACATGGCACCCTTGTTTGATCCATAACTTTTGTGAATTGAACAGTATCCCATTTCAAACAGTAAATTATGTATTTCACTGCTTACCTAGTTGCCATGAAGCTGGGCAGTGGGGGCAGGGTAATGGCCAGGTAGGGATGAACAAGAGCCTGCACTTGTCTCCTCACACCTGCTTAGCTCCTCATACCTCATGGGATCCTGATTGAGAATAACTGTTCTAGGCAGTGATATTGTACCTGAACTGCCAGGAATTAGGACAGTCCACATGGCTGTGTTACCCTAAATCAGGGGGTTTCAACCTTTTTTAGTCTAAGTGCCCCCGGCGGCTGGATGCTGAGCAGAGGGGCAGGGGATGGTGCATGGCCAGATGCAGGGTTGGGGGGTGGCATGCAGCTGGATATTGAGAAGCAGGAAGCACGTGGCTGGATGCCGAGCAGGGTGGCGATGGCGCATGGCCAGATGCTGGGGGGGGGGGGGGGGGGGGTGCAGCTACAGGCAGAGGAGGGGGAGTGTGGATGGATGCCGAGTGAGGTGGGGGGTATACGGCACATGGGCAAGCAGGGATGGAGTGCCACTGCCTCCCAGGAGCAGGGCCTGGACAGGGTGGGGAAGCTCACCGGGCTGGTGTGTGGCAGCAGCAGCCACCACATGTGAGCTTCCCCACCCCACAGAGAAGCGCCGCTGCCCTCGCCCCACCCTGGCCCTGCTCCTGGGAGGCAGTGGCACTCCATCCCCACCCGCCTACTTGTACCCCTTAGAACTGGTCTAAGTACCCCCAGGGATATGTGTACCCCCGTTTGACACCCCCTGCCCTAAATATAAATTCAGAAATAAATTCCTTTGGGCCAGCAGCCAGAGAAGTTGTCTTCATTTTTCCTGAGTATTTTAGTAATATGAACGTGCACTTCATTTTCAAAACTTAGAAAAAAAATTAACTGCCTTATCACAGCTACTTGGCATTTCCTCAACATTAATAATTTATTTTTTACATTAGGAACATTACCAATTCCTGTATGATTGTGTTGCCACCATCTACCCTCCGCAGAATGGACAAGTAAAGAAAAATAGCAAACAAGAAGATAAAGTTGCATTTGACAATGAAGTAGAAAAAGCAGATCAAGAAGCTAATTTGGTTGCTATTGATCTCACCTCAGTGCCGCCAGAAGCTAGAAAGGATTCGGAAGCATGTGAAGATTCTAAATTTGCAGACTGCATTAAAGGAACAGAGAGTTCTACAAACGGCCCCACAACTCCAGTTTTATAATATATAAGTCATGGTACAGATTTCTATATGCAAAGGAGTTTAAAAAAACAGAATAAGAAGCAGACATTTCCTTTTTCCTCACCGTTTTTGAAACAGATTCACCCTGGGTCCATTTTTAGGAGGTACGGTATTCAAAGAATACTTGAAAGTTGTGGCACTGTAAAAGTTTAATTTTCCTGTAGATTTATTTGCATTTTATACTTTTCGACAAATTAACTATTTTTCATTTTTTTCAAGTTTGTACAGAATATTGATGTTTCTAATGATATTCTAGTTTTGAGCATTGGGGAGATGAGTGATGTTACTTTTTCAGTCTTATTTCTTGTTGCAAGGAAGAAAGTACAATTTATCTACAATCATAAATATGACATTTATAAAAAAAATATAAACTATAAAATTTCAGGTACTGAAAATATAAGTTGTCTTGTAGCTACTGTATCTCAGTCCAAGGCAATTTCAAATGTAAGATGACCCTGTAATAATCAGATTCCATACACAGAAAATTGATACATTTGTTATAATTTTCCATGTATATAACCTAATTAATGGAGGGTTATTTTAAATTTGTACCCCTCCTTCCCCCCATTGCAGCTCAAAAAGCCGTGACGGAAGGCAGTAGGGGAGTCAAGGGACCTGACAACTGTTTCTGGACTCCTGTCACCTGTCCCCACACCACTTCCCTCTCTGGTCTTTGCTCCATGCCCTGGCACTCATCCCCTTACAATGCCTGTCCCACCAGGTACCTGCCCCCTCACCTGTTCCTCCATGTCTGCCCCCTGTGTCTTCCCCTGCATCTGTCTCCACCCCACTCCCCATGGTGCGTGCACCCCCTGGCACGTGCAGCCCTAGTACTTCCATCATCTGGCCTGACCCCCCTTTTCCTGCGCCCAAGCACATACCCTCTGGCTTTGGCCCCCACTCCAGCCCTGGGCATGGAGCACATGGTCACTGGGCATGGAGCTCATGGTCACTCCAGCTCCCACCTGGCCATACAGCAGCAGTTGCATGCACTTCCCAGCTCTGTCCCCAGCTGCAGCCCTGCCCCCTACCCCAACATTGGAGCCACCACCATTGTAACTTCTGCTAAGTGGCTAGAGAGGGGCAAGAGTCAGCATGTGCTCTGTGTCTTGGGCTGGCCAGAGTGGAGCCAGAGGGCAAGTGGCAGTGGGGGTGGGGAAAGGGGAGAACCGGGGGGTGAGGCACAGTAACTGCCCCTCCATCTCTGACCCCAAGCCCAAGCCTGGATTGGGGCTGGAGTGAGAGCTGCACCAACTGCTTGCCTCCCCACCTGTATTCAAATCCAAAATAAGGGGCTTTCCCCCTCGATGTTAAATGTGGAAAAAACCTCTTATCTTGGATTAGACTAAATATGGTAATTATTTCCTTACCGTCTTCAAATTGATCTGTTGGGGAAGGAATATGAGAAATTTCAAAATGTTGAGGAACTACAACCTGAATTAAAGTCACTGGGAGTTGAAGGTGCTGTGCAGAACAAACACAGTAAGTGTTGGCAAATCTGTGGGCTGGCATATGTCAGCATAGCTCCATCAAAGACAATAGAGGGCTGCCTTGGCTGAACTTCTTGCCCTGTATCCTACTAAATCTATGAGGAATGTAAGCTTTGCATTTGTCTAACTGACCTCAAGATGTCCCTGTTGCTCCACACAAACACATCTGAGACTTCCTATATCACCCTCAAAGAAAGTTCAGCATCTGAAATACTGAATGATTGCTGAAGTTCTGATGGACAGAAATGTCAATTGCTATTTGGCAACTTAAGAATCTGTTTTAAAGGCTTTTCTCACTCTTATTTTCTGTTTAAAGAGAGCAGTCTGTCAGTGTTTTTAAAATCTATTTCCTATACTCACCATTTCAAAATACTTGTACTATCTGTACTATTCTTCAAAAACATTGTAGAGTTTATTTAGTAGTGTTATAATATGATGAGGATTTATATGTTATCTTTTGATAATTATATTGCTGCCTTCGTGGACTTTAGTCTGTTTTAAAGCCAGATTAAAAGGACAATTAATGAGTAAGTTGCACAGTGAAAATTATTAAAAAATATAGGCTTATATGTAAAGTTGCTTATACATTAAAGCCTGAAAGGGCTTGAGAATTAACCTGTTTTTTTGTAGATTATGTAAACTGATTGTTTTCTTATACATTAAGTAAAGGGTTTTGAATTTCCCAGCACATTCTGATGTTAGTAGAATAGCAGCATTTCTTCATTCTTCTACAGCTGTCTTCATGAAAGCAGCACAGATACTTCCAAAAGTAGGTAAATATCTTGACTCCTGTTTTTCCTCCAGTGCTCCAGTATATAGATATATATGTTCACACTGATTCAACTAAACACCTTAAAATATGTGGAAAACTATACCAATATCAGTCAATATGGGTACTTGATTAAAGGACTCATAATCTGAAAGCTCTGGAGATGTGCTTGGGTCAAAGAATTAAAGTGTGATGGGGTTACCTTAATTTTCTAGTTGATCTAGGTTAAATGCTTCACAAGTGTGCACCTGAAATCCTGTTTGGAGAGACATCAGAAAGCAAGAACAGCAGAAATTTCCCTGGCTGGAAAATTGAGTAAAAACTCCGTAGCAGGAAACTACTTGTAATTAATTAGTTTATTCCAGTCTAATAGGGGTGCAGCTGTGGATGCACAACATTTACTGCAGAGCTAATTAGTCTACTCCACAGTACATATCTTGTGTAAACACGCCCAGTAACTCCCGAAGCAACAAACACCTTCTTTGAAGGTAAATAACCCTAAAGACCAAAATCTCACCTGGTATAAATCCAGGTGGCTTCACAAGTACACCAGCTAGAAATATGTCCTCTACATCCTTTACATTTTCAATTAAAATTAAATTAAAATTTTAAATTAAATTAAATAAGGGTTTGGACTGTAGAAATTCTCGAGAATTCTTGTTGGTTGATTTTCCTTCTAATGATTTAGCAATTGGTTCACAGTGTATTTGCTTCAAAATTGAGTAGCAGTTTTTTGATCTCATTTGTATGGATGCTGATGTAAGGACAGATTCAAAATTACTGGTATGTTAACTCTTGTGTATTTCACACCTGCAACACTACCCCAAAAAGTGCTATAATGAATTATATTAAACCATCTCTTCATTACTTTATTCCTATTTAGTATCCCTACTCTCTGCAAGTCCATACACAGAATCTGATGAAGTAGGCTCTTGCCTAGGAAAGCTTATGCATTTCTGAATGAGTTAATCTCTAATATAACACCCTGCCATGCCTTCTGTCAGGTTTTTAGTAAATCCTAGTGTGACAGTTTGAAGAATCTATGTACATCAAAGTAATGCTGTTTGATATTGGGCATTTCCCATATGTATCTGTGACAAACTGAAAATTGTGTATGTAGGAATTATTTGCTTCTCTGTTGTCTTTTTTCCTCCATACTAGCCCAAATCCAATGAGTAGTGACATGTGGCCAGCAGCAGAGGGTTGTTAAATTTTGATACATGTATAATCAAACCTTTTAGACAAAGAATTTTAACTACTGACCAAAGGAAAAGTTTTTGAATCTGGACTCTTGGAGAAATGTAATTAAGCGATGGGTCATACAGTAGAAGTCTTTGGCTGATGAAGCTGATCAAAGGGTCACCTGAAAAAGGACATTAGCGATCTCTGCTCATTAGAGAGAAAGACGGAGACAAAAATTAGGTTACAGTAATGAAAAGAATCCATGTTTTGCATGGTAAGCTCTATGTATTAGAAAAGGGAAGAAGAAGGATCCTAGATTTGTCAGAGGGTTTGTCTTCAAATCAAAGAATGCTCAAGAGCAGATAGAAAACAGTCCAGGAAATGAATGTAAGGACAACTCAGTCATTCAAACCTATCTTATTAAGTGGTGCTATTTTCAAATCCACTACCTTGCTCTTCTCTGCTGAGAAAGAGGCTAATTAGCCCAAATTGCCTTCAGAACATTTGCCATTGCTTCTGGTACAGGAGATAGCATATGCAGGGCAGGCTAGCGTGTTTGACAATACCACTGCCTGGCATGGTGAGTTTGCAGTGCTGATATATCTTAAATGTTTTGCTTTGTCTAGATCTTTATATTATTTGTAATTTTTAACATAGATAATATTACATTAAAAAAAAAACAACTTTGCAAGGCCTGTGCTTCAACTACCATGTATCTCAAGAGAAGCAGATACCAAATAAGAGTGCCTACAATGTTGGAGCTCTGGGGTGAGAAGGAAGTTCTTTCTTACTTAATGGAATGGTAATCACTGTTGCTGATGTCAAAGATTCCAGCAAAAAAAAAAAGGCCTAGGTCAAGCCATACTCAAAATAGATCCAGAATAGATCCAGGTTTGTAGGTAGTGCTTAGTTTGAAATTACTCATGTATAATGCACTGTAATGATATGCAAGTTCTTTTAGCAGATTGGCCAGGCTACATTTCTGAACAGAGTCACTTTTGGAACTTGCTGGAAAAAAAAGTAAGTATGGCTAAGTACAAATATCCAGGAAGCCCAAGGCAGAAGCGGTCTAAATATTGAACTTTACTTGAGGGTGCTCTAGGTTAGGTCAGGGGCGAACATAGCAGATGTTTGCCCTTCAGTATGGAGGACTCAGAACCTGCCCTCACTGTCTGAGGCCAGCAGGTAGGGGATGCTCTCGTATACCTCCCTATGTGCCCTGAGGAGTCCCCGACCTGCCAAAGGGTCATGAGCAGAGCCAAAGAAGTGAGCCACCCCTGATTGGCTGCTGGCTAGGGCCCACCATGCCCCCAACCCTCTGCTATGTCACCATGGTCCCTCCCCTGAGCCCAGCTTCAGGTTTCCAGAAGAACTCCAGAGTGAGCATGAGTGCCTGTCATCATGACTTGTATATGCCTTCATGGGCCTGTCTACCTACACCCCACCATGGTGTCCTGCCATCCATGCCTAAACAAGGAGACCCAGAAGTTGTGGTGATGCCTGCTGGTTGCCTTGCCCAACTCACACTGGAGGCTACGGGATATCATGCACACCAACCTGGACCTGGTGTGGCAATGGCTTGCCATGGCATGTGCTTTCATGTCCATGAGCCACCAGCCAGCAATCCCACAATGCCCAGCCACCGAACCTTGTGTTTGCCAAGTCTCCAGGGCTGGGCCACCAACTTTCATGTGGTTAATGAGGATGAAGCCATCCAGGACACCATGGATGCCCGGGTGCTCCAGCACCACCTTGAGACTGTCAAGTACCGGTTCGGGGTCTGTACCACCAGTATCAACTGGTGGGAGTGGATTGTCATGGGTACCTGGGACAATGAACAGTGGATCCAGACTTTCCGCATGTCCTGGGCCAGCTTCATGGATGTTGTTGCCCAGATGGCCCCCCAAACGACGTGCCAGGATGTCAGCATGCAGTGACCCCTTGCTGTGGAGAAGTAGGTGGCCATCGCTGTCATGAAGCTGGCCATCTCCAGCAGTTACTGCTACATTGCCAACCAGTTTCACATGACCAAATCTCCATCTGGGGAGGTGTTTGGTCATTGGCCAACCATTTCATCCACCTCATCGACACCCCACATTCCCATCCTCTACTCAGCTCTGGCCACCCAGGTGGTCACCAACTGTAAGGGCTACTTCAGCATCATCCTGCAGGACATTGTCAACCACCAGGGAAGTTTCGCCCACATCTTCATTGGCTTAGGTGGGCAGCAGCTATAATGCCTGCATCTTCTGCAGTTCCCATTCCCTGAGCTGATAGAGAGTGGGTACTATGCCCCTAGGATCTCCAGTTTCATCATCGGTGACATAATTTCCCCCCTCCTTAGGGACCCAAAGTACCCCCTCCTGCCTTAGCTGACAAATCCCTTTGTGGGAGGTGGGCAGCTGGATTGCCAGAATTTGCACTTCACCTACTACCTAAGCAGGTGGGGCATGACAGTGAAGCATGCCTTTGGCTGCCTCAAAGCATGCTGACAGACTCTCAGTGCATGCCTCAAGGTGGATGAAATGAACTTGGCAACTCATCATCTCTGTGTGCATCCTCCATGATATTTGTGAGACCGGGGGGAGGTCTTCCATGAAGCCTGGGTTGAGGAGGCATGGCACACGGACTAGGCCTGGTGGCATGAGAACATGCAGTGCAGGGATGGGGGAGAGGGTGAGTCCTTGCTAATGTTGGGGGCCTTGACCCTGTACAGGAGAAGGCTGTTTAGCTCCACAACACTCAGGCTAGCTACCTCCTCTCTCTCATGGACCAGGATCCCTCCCTGAATGAGAGGGCTTTGAGTGCCCTTGCCCGGGCACTAGGCCATGGGTCTCCTGCCTTGGGTTCCTTTGTCCCTGCATCCCAGGCAGGACAGCCCACAATGCAGGCTGCCTGGACACCTGCCCCAGGGGCACACACCAGGGTGCAGTAGAATGCAGCACAAGGAAGTGATGTGCCTCGGTTTAATAAAATGTTGCAGCTGCCAAACTTTTCATGTGTTTAATAAAGAAAACCTGTTACACATTGCTGTGTCCTGCAGGGGAGTTCAGGGGGAGTGCAGCTCATTAGTCTGCTAGGTTAGGCTGTAGTTGGGACAGCATTTAGCAATGGAGCCCACTAGCCCCGGCTCATCCAGTTGCCCACTATGGGGCCCAGGGGAGAGCTCTTCGGCTTCCCATGGCCCCAGTCCTGGCCTGGATGCTGCTGGGGATGGACAGCCCCTGAGCCTGGGCTGGCTGGTTCTGGGATCACAGTGCAGTGACTCTCATGCACCACACCTCCTGTCCTAGAGCCCCCACACCTCCCAGCATCTCTCAGTCAGAGTGTGGTAGGGAGTATTTCCCTTCAACCTCCATCCATGGGTCCTCCATGTGGAAGCCCCATTCCTGTCATCCCAAAGAAAAGTCCCTGGAGTGGGGCTTGCCGTGACATGGGGGGGCAGGAGGCAGCATCTTGTTCCAACACTTCTGCTTGGGAGGATTACAGGCTCTTCACAGGAGGCAGCACTTGGGCCAGTTAGGGGTGTCATAGGTGGACCCCAAGCCATCTGTGACCTTTATGCATATCTTATCCTGGTGCTGTGACTCTCTTAGCTCTGCAGTGACATGGGTTGTCTCCTCCAAAAAGTGGGTGTCCATCTGGAGACCCTGTTTCTGGGCCTTCTGTGCCTCAGCAACCTGGATAAAAGCATCCCCCAGCCTGTCCATTTCCCTCTCAATAACTTTAGTCATTCCTCTTGCCAGTCCTGCAGACCCTGGCACTAAGAGTCTGTGGCCCTGAGGTCAGAAGCTGTGAACAGAGTTTGTAACATTTCTTCCTTACTTCACTGGTGCCTCCTTTACACATCTCTCATGCTCTGTATGTGTTAGGGTGACTGTCCTTGAGCCACCATCCCAGCCACTCTGAGCTGGCCTCCCATGCACAAATGCAGAGTCTGTAGACAAGGGAAACACAAAGCTGTTATGTGAGGTTGCAAATTTAGTGATAAAATAAAGTATAAAGAGAAGCATTTCAGACTCTCTCGTCACTTGCTTGGGCACTTGCACAGACACACAGAGGAAGCTATAATACGTTTGCTGTCTGAACCCTTCCCCTGCTGAGGTCTGGGACCCATGCCGCTGTTCTCCATCCACTGCAGCAGAGATCATGTGTTCCAGCTGTGCTGTGGGTGGGTAGCTCCTACAGTGGGGAAGAGAAGGGTTGCTTGAGAGGTAAGGCCTGGGTCCCTCTGCAGGCACTGTGGTGGATATTTGTTTTGGTTCCAAACAAGAGGCCGGGGACCCTGGTTCCTGTGGAAACTTGTTCCATTCCTGGAGTGGACAGGGACTGACCATGCTGGGGAATGTTGGCAGGGCTTTTACAATGCTCTCATCCCCTGTCCTTCCCTTGAAGGAGAGATGTGTCAGTGCTAGGTCCCTCTGGGAGCAGCACCTAAATCCCTACATTACCAGGGTGAGACATGGCTGGTTCCTATACCACCATCCTCCCCCATGCTTCCCTTTCAGGGGAGGCATTTTGGCTCAATATTTTGATAGCTGAAGGACTATCTGCTTGGACATCATGCTGCAGAACCCTGGGTTGCCATTCAATGTCAGAATCCACCTTAAGTTGTATCTGTGTCTCCGCTACAATAAGTGATTGCCAGAGATGGGGATGGAGGTTGCCTTCAGCAGTTGGTACAATGACTGTCTGCACCATAAGAATCAGAATCAGCTGACATTGAATGGACTTTAACCATGGATTGGATCAGAGTGAGGGAGGAAAAGTGTCACTTGCCAGCCTTTCCAGATGCACAACCTGGTAGTCACCCAAGCAACAAGAGTGGAGCAGCTCAGATGCCAATTCCCACATGGGACTTTTGCCATCACATCTGTCCCTGTCTTGGACTGGAAGGGAGGAGTGGGGGTTGTTTGTGGGATTTTTTCATGCCTGCTGTGCCACAACTGAAGTGGTTTAAATCTCTTGTCCCTGACCTTGGGGTGCTGCCTGCCAACTGGGCCTGTGGCCATGCCAACCAGAGCAAAGTAGCATGCACCTGAAATTGTAACTGCTATTTACACTTTGCCTGTGGAAATCAATATACACTTTCAGTGCCCTTCTGTGCCTGCTTGTGGGAAGGGGGAGGTGGTTCCAAATGACCGAGGCATCTGTGATGATGAGGCTCACTTTTCTCCAGAGGCTAGCTTGGCTCTGAGAGATAGGGTGGGGAGGTGTCAATTAGGCAGATTTATGTTCCCATTGAATGGGAACATGAGCTGACAAGTGCCCAAGGCCAGGTGGGAAAAGGGACCTTGATGTTTTTGCTATGCTCATAGATGGGAGGGCAGGGGTTGGGGTGAGGGGAATAAGGGGATGAGGTCACTGTTCTGCTGTGTGCTGAGGTTAGCACTTTGAGCAATTCCCTGGGTTCATAGATTCATAGATTGTAGAGTTGGAAGGGACCACAATGGATCATCGTGTCCGACCCCCTGCCCCTGTCAGGAAAGAGGAACAAGGTCAGATGGCCCCAGCCAGGTGACTATCTAGCCTCCTCTTGAAGACCTCCAAGCTAGGTGATAGCACCACCTCTCTTGGAAGCCCATTCCAGATCCTGGCCACTCTTAATGTGAAAAATTTCTTCCTAATATCTAACCTAAATCCACTCTCAACTAGTTTACACCCATTATCTCTAGTCACTCCCTGGGGTGCCTTAGTAAACAGCGCTTCCCCTATTCCCTGTTGACCTCCCCTAATAAATTTATAGGCAACCACAAGATCTCCCCTCAGCTGTCTCTTGTGAAGGCTGAAGAGATTCAGCTCTCTCAACCTCCCCCCGTAGGGTCTATCACGAAGGCCACTAATCATGTGAGTGGCCCTCCTCTGGACCCTCTCGAGATTCCCCGCGTCCCTCTTGAAGTGCGGCACCCAAAACTGGACACAGTACTCCAACTGCAGCCTGACCAGTGCCGCATAGAGGGGGAGCATCACCTCCTTTGTTCTATTAGTCATGCACCTGCTAATGCACAACAAGGTGAGATTGGCCTTGTTGATGGCCTCGTTATATTGCCGGCTCATGTTCATCTTGGAGTCAATTATGACTCCAAGATCCCTCTCTGCCTCTGAGCTGCTGAGAAGGACACTCCCTAACCTATAAGTGTGCTGGGGGTTCCTCCTTCCAAGGTGGAGTACCTTACATTTATCTTTATTAAATTGCAACCTATTTCTCTCTGTCCACTGATCCAACCTGTCCAGGTTGGCCTGAATCTGCTCCCTGCCCTCCGGTGTACTAACTTTGCCCCATAACTTGGTATCATCAGCGAACTTGGAGAGGGTGCTCTCCACACCCTCATCCAAATCGCTAATGAAGACATTGAAAAATATTGGTCCAAGGACCGAACCCTGCGGGACCCCACTGCCCACCTCCCTCCAGGCCAAGAAGGAACCATACAC